CTAGTGTGCTAGTATAGTTAGAGTAATTACCCTTAGATAAGTCTAACATAGTAGACATAGTATAAAGCGTAGATAATAAATGCTAACTTATTTTATATTAACTTTTTTTTTTTACTAGCTTACTAACTTTATAACTACTTTAATTTAAAGTAGTCTACTAGCCCTCTTCTAAGGCAGTTAAAGGCATAATATAGAATAAATAGTATAGTAGTTGCATGTTATCTAGGTCTTTTTACTTTATAACTAAACTGCTAGATTAAGTCTTTAATATTATCTATAATTAAAATTAACTACTAATAAACACACTAGATATTAGATAGATCTATACCTATTTTAAGCATAGTTATAGTAATAGTAACTTAGATTAGAGACTTGTCTTTTAAGAAATTAGCATATATTTAAGCTTAGTTAAACTTTAACACATACTTTATATATACTACTAAAACTAATTAAATATTTATAAGTAGACAGCTTTTTTTTAAAAGTTAACTTTAAAAAAGCTAGGCTAAAGTAGTAACTTTATTTTTTTTATCTAAAAATATAATTATATTTAAGATGTATAAAAAATAATTTATAATATTTTTATATTAATTTTTACATTTATATAGTTTAGAAGCTAGTTATATAACGTCTAGCAGCTAGTTAGGATTAGAATAATTCTAATAGCAATCTCTAGCCTATTAACAAAGGTGCGTATAATTCTTAGCTATATAGAAGTGTTATTATTACTAGTTACTAGCGCTTAAAAATATTTACTTTTAAGAAGCTAGGCTTTAGTTGCAGCATCTAAGGTTGCTGTATATATAAAGAAAAAAGTTATAAAATACATTATCTAATAAAGCTTATAAAACTAGATATATACTATTTAGAATTTACACTACTGCTAAATAATATAGCACTTATTAATTATAACTAGTTAAACTTAGTCTATAAAGCTACTTATAAAAAAAAGATAATAAAACACTAAAAAGATTACCTACTTAAGGCTAAAAAAATATATATATATAATATCTTTTAAAAATTTTACTAAAAAGTTTAGAATTAAAATTTTTTATTTTTATAGTAATAAAGTATAAATAAGCTTTAAAATATTTTATAATTTTTTTTTTTACTTTTTTTTAAGCTTTAATAATAAAATAGTTTAAAGTATTATAACTAGTTATACTTTATTATTACTAAATACATATGTAGTGTAATACTTTTACTAAACTTAGTCTTTGCAACTAGAATTATATTGCCTAAACTAAAAACAAGGCGTTAGATAATATAGACCTGCTTAGTATATAGTTCTCTTTTACTAAGTAAGAAAAAAAGAGTATTTTAAATAAAAGGCTTTTATAAGCTAACACTGCATAGTTTCTAATATTAAACTATAACTATATAAATAGTTATAAAAATATTATTATCTTTATTAAATAAAAGAATATGTGTAATCTCTTCTTATATAGCTTAGATTTCTGTTAGTATAGCGCTCTCTAGTGTTCTAGTAAAGGACTTAGGGTCTTGTTAATAAGGTGCCTAGCAACACTTAATAAGTAATACTTAATTATAATAAGTGCACTTTTTACTATAATTTACTAGACTAAGTAATACTTATGCATCTACTAAATAGCTTAATTATAGATTAGAACTATTTTACTTATACTATATATTACTATTTTAAATCTATGCAGTAGCCTTTAAACCTAGCATGCTTTATTTAAGACAAAGAGTGTGTTCTAGAGGCTAAATTAAAGTAGGTTAGTTAATTTTAGCTATTATTAATAGTTAAATGTAAGTAGATAAACTAGTAGAGGATAGGGTTAAAAAAATAGTTACATGTTAGAATATGTGTAATGCTAAGCCTATAATTTTTATAGTTAAAATGTTAGAAATTTATTTAAAAATAGTCTAAAGTAGATTATATATACTCTTTAAGTAATTAATTTTAATTATAGGCGCTGTAATAAGCTGTGTGTAATAGTATCTTGTATAGAAGTTTTTAGTAAGTTAATAGATAAAGCTTTGCACACGTTGCGCTGCACTAAAGTCCCTTAGACAGCAGCCAAGAAGGAAGAAGCCCTAGCAGGGGTCTGAAAGTATCTATACTATTTGTGTACTAGTGTCTTCTTGGCATGCCGTCTGAGCTAGCTGAGATAAGCGACGCTGAGACGCGTCGGCTGACTAAACAAGTGCCGTGCCCTTGAGTCTTAAAACTGGCTCCTAATCCTGTGTCGGATTAAAAGATAATCCAAACACTTGTGCAACTCACACAGCTATATATCCTACAATAAAATACCATACCAGTGCATAAGGTAAGACGTGCGGGATCATCTCGCACTAGCCAGGATTGGTAGTTTGCTTCCGCCACAAGTACTGATCGACGGGGCGGCCCTGCATGAAATCGCGCCTTGCAGCGTGCATAGGGCTAATGATGACTTCCTGGTATTAGAGGGGGTTTGTAAGAGTAGCATTAAGCTATTCTACAAAAACTTAGAGCAAAAACGGCTTAAGGCTAATGCTATAGGGAGGGAAGCCTGCTGTGCTATAATACAAAGCGCTGTACAAATTAGGCGCGGAAGCAACAATACAAACGTAATTTATAGGCAAAGTAGAACACAGGCATTTAGAAGTAGCTATAGCATCTTCTCCACTTAGGCGCGGAACATTCGCGGCTGATGTGACAGAAGCCACCATCTTTCAATATGCTGTTTCTGGAGGCTTCATAGAATCTATACAGTGAAGCGATACCCTAGGTATCTGTGAGAGGTATCGAGCAGGAAACACAGGTCACAGAGAGGGAATGCAGGATAGGGGGGGTAACGAGAGTAAACCTTAGGGTCGGAGGCAGAGGTACGGAGGCCGAGGAGCCTATATACCCCGTGCCAAGCCTAGGGTACTCAGGGGTTGGATAGCTGTAACATAACCGTGACAGTATCGCACCCGGACCCGAGGTTTCTCTCAATGCTAATGGCTCAATGAAGCCGCCTAACGCCTTCAATTCGAAAGTACTTTGGATTATGGCCTCAGCCGCCTGCAATTGCTTGTATTTGAAGAGCATTGCCGTAGTAATCCAGCGTATTTATGCACTAGTCAATACACTGGGGTCAACTGGTACCATATCGATCAATGATGGCCACGAGTAGTCAATCACGTGCAAATCCTGACCAATCATGTCGTCAGCTTCCCATCGTGAAATGGACGTGATCGAATATGTGTCTGTATTCCGTACATGTATATGTCTTGCGGAATATATGTGTAGCTACCCTAGGGTACCATCATGCACGTGCAGTACGACCTAAATTCTTCAAACATTAGTCCGTACCGAGTCTAGCAGTTGCACGAAAATCTTAGCGCCCGTCGCTGGGGTTCTAATCCAACGTCAACTCTTTCCTATGAGAGTTCATGCACAGAACTGTACGGGAACGCTTGATCGTCCAAGCACAGCGAACAGTCGGTCTCTGGAAGGCAGGAAGACCCCTGTCGTGCCTCACCTATTGTGGCGTTCTCTGAACCACTAACTGCTCTCCACGTCTGCCGAAAGCCGCTCCATCAGGCACTCCCAGCGCGTACTTGCGAGAACATGTGACGCGCCATTTTGATCGTAGTTCCAATTCTCACCAGATAGTACCGGAAAGACAATGCTTACCATTCTACCCAGATCCCCTCTTAATGTTGATACCCTTCTTACGCGCATCTAGATACTGCTCCAAGTCTGCCTACATGCGAGCAGCGCACTCTGGTCTATCCCAGTAAGAGCAATTTCAAGGAAAATGATAGAAAGGGAAGTGCGAAACAGCTCCAAAATAGACTCTCGACAGCAGCGCCGGCCTACTGAGCCCGTCCTCTGTGAGAACGAAGCAACACCCCAAAATTAGGAACTATGCACGCGTATGCGGCAACAAGAGCATGGTATCTCAAACGAAAAGGCGATTTCCCGGAATTGGTTTTGCAACGGAGGTCTTGCGTAGCTACTTCTAGTTGGGCTGGCTTGGCATGGCCGGATGCTACTCTGCACACACGAATGCAGGAGGCAAGAAACTTGCTATCGTCGCTGCCCACGACTCCCTCAAACAGCTTCTCTTTACCGTAGGATTGCTCGACAGTGGCAGCATCCAAGTCTCTGCCGAACAGCATCGCAACATAGCTTCACTGAAGAGTTTCTCTGTACTGAAAATTTGTTGTTAATGAAAATGCCAACCATGCGATCAGGACCCCTGCAGGGACCTGCAGGCGGTCAACACCCTCGGAACGACCCCTCCGGTTATCTCACGAGTCCGCCGCCCCACTTCTGAAACTTCTGAGCCAATTAAAACTTCTGGGGTCTTCTGGGCCAATCAGAGGCTGATTAGTAACGACGCGCAAAATCATCTGCGGAGCTTGCCCCTCTCCTGTTTGGTGCGTTCTGATTGGTTCAGAAGTTCCCAGAAGATCTCAGAAGTTCTCAGAAGTTTTGATTGGCTCAGAAGTTTCAGAAGTTCTGTCTATTCCTAAATAAGTCAAGGGCGATTCTGGGTCGAGGATCTGACTGTGAGATAACCCTCCGGGTTCCCACCGAAAACGTCACCGGCGTCATCTCACATTCCGTTTGCTGTCGTATTCTCTCCTTTGCAACAGTAAACCCAAACCACTGTCTGCATCTTTTCTCTCTTCCCAGAAACCTTAGAATTTACCAATTCACTAATTAGTGACTTCTCTGTTACTTATCTCCGCAATCGAGCGGCTCCGAGCAGCCTCGAGTGGTCTCGGGCGGACACACAAGCTCTGCCTACCCGATCTGCACATTTACCACGTCGTCACGCTGTGGGTGAACTGACAGTGGGAAAGCTTCTTCATCCGATACAGACCCCACAGTACACAGCTCCCATCCACGAGTCCCTTCTCTCGAGGCGCGTCCTCTAGTTGCATTCGAGCGCCAGCTACATAAACCTATCGGAGTATCGCGCTGGTCGAAACTACCACAATCCACCATCGATCCCGCACGTCCGCGCCCCACAAATCGAGTCTCTCACCGGCAAGGCATGTTTGGGGAGGAAGGGGGTTCAGCACCTGCCGCTGCTGGTAAGTGTGTCCTGAAAACAGCCGTCAGTCCTTCGGTCTGAAGTTCTCTACGTTGACATCTGGAAACCACCACAGACCCCGAGTCTTTAGTCGAAGCTGATGCAGCACCCACGCCTCGCTCCTTGCAGAATAAATCCTGTTTGAAGCTGAGATATCTATCAGAGAGCCCAGCATCTATCACATACAGTCTACAAACCTGCCCCCGCCTGAGTAGTTGGCCTCGGCGGTTGTTGGTCAAGCTCCGATCTGGGTCCTGGATACGCAACTCGCATGTGGTGGTTCTCCAAGACGGAGATGATATCACTTCAAGTCGTGCTGTCGTCACTATGTTCGATACGGGCTGTCGCGGCAGGAACAATCTCATATCGACACGGGCATTGACAAAGATATTCGGTCTGAAGCTCGAGTACGCCGAAGAGCGTATAATTGCAACATACCCTGACGGTCGAGCATGTCTTAGCGTGGGCGAAATCGACATTCGCTGGTGGCCGGAGGATGGCCGGCCGCGGTACGAATTCATTCGTGCCTACGTGCTCGAATCGAATGAATTCGACCTCATAGTTGGAGAGGAGACCATCGAAAATTATCTCGGACAACTCCCGTTGTTCGGGGCCTTTATGAGTAAGCCCGTAGCTCATAATGGTAGGTCCAGCTCTGTCATCATACCTAGACATTCTTTAATTTCTTACACTGGCTTCTAGCCGCGACTGTTGCAAAGGAGCAACTGGATGCTGATGCACGACGCGAAGACCACCGAAGCGCCCGACAGAGACGGAAGGAACAAACTGTGGGTTACCCAAAATCTCCAATAGACGTGTCCTAAGATGAATAGACGCGGGCAAATACGTCTGGCAACGAGCAATCCCTCCCTCAGGGCCAGACGTCATCGCACTCTCCATCGCAATCTCCACCGCCGGCCCCATCGCAATGAAAATTACGAAAATCGAATGCCAGGGTTTTCATGCTACGCACGATGGATATACACAGTACTCACTGGCCTGCGCCGCGACTGAACCGTGAAAGCCTTTCGTTTGTTGACCCCAACGACTCACACGAAGTCTCCAAGACACGTCATACCCTCCTCTGATCCTTCCAGAACAAGGTGGGACGATTTGCATCACACATTTTCTTAGAAAGTGTGCATCATCCTTACTCTGCCTGCATATTCTGTCGCACGTGTCTCACGCGATATTTATCTCAGCTAGCTCAGACGTGAGGAGAGAACCGAGGACGCACAAACCACCATACATATTGCTACTCCAAATAGAGTATGGTCTGGGGGTTAGCGGTTTCTGACCCCTGTCGGTAGCGTTTCTCTCCTCAGCCGTCTGAGGGACTTTTGTGATTTTTTCTATGAATAGGCCTATTTCAAATGCATCACAATAGAATTAGATTCACAATATCTCTACTACTATATGTCTAAATAGGCTTAGAATTTGATAGAATGTAGAGACAAGCTGTAGCTATAAAATAGTATATTTTTTACTAGATTCTAACTATTATTAGTAGAGAAAAATCTAAACGCGCGCAGAACTGTGACCTATCCATACCCTGATTTCAGATTAATAGTATCGCCCTCCTAACTAGAACTTGACAACTAGTAGACCAAATTCCCTAGAATTTTGCAGGATCCCTGACAGAGCTAGTCTGAGACAGCTCCTAGATCCTTAGAGTCCTCAGAGTCCTCAGAGTCCTCAGACAACAGCTAGTTGAGCTGCAGACATGAGAGCGATCGCGATGTCCCTAGCCTACTATCCAGCTTGACAACCAGCGGCCTAGATCTCCTAAAATTTTGCAGGCTCTCTGATAGAGCCTGTCTTAGATAGGTCTTAAATTCTAAAGATAATATATTGTGTAGTTAGGGAGTCGCATTAAGGTGTAGTTGTGTCACGATTGTGCACAAGTAAGGTTATAGAGCTTCACAGAGGTCTAGTTTAATTACTACGTGAGGTATTATAGTAGGTACAAGACATTGTGTAAAGAACAGAAAAGTTTAAAAAAAAATTAGTAATTAAATACTTAACTTAGAAGTCTAAGCACTTTAAGTATAAATTAAGCTTATTTTAAGTTTAGTTAGTGTTAAAGTAGTTTATGCTTAAGTTTATGTCTATGTTATGTTATATTTATGTTAGACATACACTAATAATACTTTAGTATATGTCTAATACAGTTATGTCTAGGATCTAGGGAGGATACTGTAACAGTACCCCCCTCTTTATTAAGAAGAGAATTCTTTACATTAGTAGTTTTAGCATTAAGTTGTCTTTATTAAAGTATAAGTTTAGTTTAAATAGGTATTAAGCATAAAATTAAGTTACTATAGAGTTTTTTTATAAGGCTTTTATAAGTTTTTATAATAGTTTGTTATATCTAGTCTATTTTATAAGATATTTATAAATATATTTTTTTTTATTAAACTAAATTTATTTAACATCTTCTATAATATATTTTAGTTTATTATTTATAATAATAAGTTTAAGTAGCAGGTTTAGCTATTTAAGTAAATAGTTAGATTTAAAGGCTACTTAGCACAGCAATAATACATAGAACACAAGGTGTATCTTTATGCTGTTAGGTAGGATTAATTAGTAAGCGTGTAATAAGACTATATAGGCTACTATAAAAAAGCTAAGGTTTTTTTAATTAAGTTTCTTTAATTATTAGTTTATTTAAATATTTCTAGTGTCTAGCTAGACTTTCTTACTAGCTGCATACATAAGGGTAGAAGTTTAGAATTAGTTTATATACTCTTATTAAAAAGCTTAAGCCTATATAAGCTTTTTATAAATATATTTAGATATATTTTAGATTTTATTAATAAGTTTATTTACATTTATTACTTATATAAATTAATAAGTTAGTTAGAAAGTATTTAAAAGTAGTTTAAATTCTATTTAAAAGTAGTATTTATAGTTTACTAAAAATAAAAATACTTATGTTAATTTAAATATTATATTATTAGCTTTAAACTATGCTATAGCTAACTATTTTACCTAGTTATTTTACTAGTAGTTTATATACACTTATAAAACTTATTTTATTATAGTGTTTATGTTCTTAGTTTAGCTATTAGTCTTTAAGTAAAAAGCTATAAATAAATAAAAGATAATTTAAAGCTATTTATAGAGTTTATTCTAAAAGGCTAAGACAAACTACATACCTCTATCTAATATAATTATGTTAGGCAGGCTATAGTAAACTTATATGTATTAGTAGAATAACTAGGCTATATTAGAGGCAGTTATAAAGGAATATAGTATTAAGTGTTAATACTTAGTTAAGTAATTAATAACTACTATAATATTTATATACTTTTTAAATAAAAGTAAGTTTATAATAAAATTAATTAATATATTTTTTAAGCTTATTTAGAGATTAAAAGTAGTTTAAGTAAGCTATTATACCTTTTTTAAAAGGCCTTTACTTTACAGTAAGTATAGCAACAGAATACGTATTAGCGTATAGTATAGAACATATAGGGCTAGTAGTACTCTCTTTATAGTAGGTTAAGAGTCTTTTCTCTGCCTAGGTGTCCTTTAATAGGCAAGTTATGTATAATTTAAAGTAGTTTAATTTTTAGTTTATTAGAATTAAAGATTATAAGTTAGTTATAGTAATATAGCTTACTATTTTAGTTTTTATAGTTAGCTAGTATTACTTTTTTTAACTAACTAGCGCTATTTTAAAGCAAGTTTAAAGTTTCTTAAATAAATTTATTATTTAAATACTTATTAGTAATAATTTAATTAATTATCTAATTTATTTTATTTAAGTTAAAGTTTAAAAATAGCTTAAGTTAAAGTAGAGTTTAGTGTTAAGCCTTTTACACTTTTTTTTAAGTAAAAATATTTTAGAATTACTTTATAAAGGCATCTAGTTTTCTTCTATCTTAACTAAAATAATAAGTAATTTTAAAATTAAAACAAAATAAGTATTTAAACTAATAAGCTTATTAATAGCTAAGTTATTTTATAGTTATAAAGTACTATAAGTTCTTATAGTTAGATAGGACCTATATTAGATGCGCTGCACTTTCTAGTTTAGGTTGCTATTATTTAAAGTAGTGTACTATAGCAAGTAATTTTTTATTATAGATTTTATAATTACCTTCTATAAGACTTATTCTTTTTAAAAAGTATATAATAGGCTTAATAGTCCTATCTAGCTTAGTCTAGAAAAGAACTCCTGCTACTACATAGTCTAAGGCATTAGCTTCTATAAGTATTAGTAGTTTAAAGTTAAAGTAGTAGAGTATTAAGGCTTTAGTAAAAGCTTTTTTTAGCTAGTTAAAAAACTATTAGTAATTTAAGTTAAAGTTAAATTAAACTTTTTTTTTAGTAAGTGTAATTATAAGGCTTACTAGCTATAAAAAGTTATTAATAAATTATTAGTAAAAGTTAGTAAATTTTATAAAGGCTTAAATATTTTTTATATTCTTTAGGTATTACTAATCTAGTATAGTCTAAACCTTAATAAGGTCTATTTAGATGCTATCTATAAAGATTACATATTCTAAATATATAACTTTTAATTAGTAAAACTTATATTTATTTATGTTAAGTTACAAACCTACTTCTTCTATAGCCTTTAGCACTAGGCGTACATGCTGTTTATGCTTTAAAAAGCTATTACTATAGATTAAAATATTGTTAATATTTATAGTATAAAACATGTCTAGGTAGGGTTAGAGTAAGTTATTTATAAAATGTTAAAAAGTACTAGGCGTGTTAGCTAAGCTAAAGGGCATTACTAGGTACTTAAATAGTTTATATTAGGTCTAAAATGCTATTAGCTACTTATTACCCTTTACTATTCTTAGCTTATTAAAGGTAGTAATAATATTTAACTTTATAAAATACTTTACTTTACTTAGTTAGCTTAGAGTTTTTTATAAAAAAAAATTAAGTATTAGTTTTTAATAGTAATAGTATTTAGTTTTTAGTAGTTAACATAAAATTAAAGCTTACCTCTAGGTTTTTTTATAAATAGTATAAGTAACACTACTAGTAAAAAGCTAGCTTAAATAAACCTTTTTTTTAAGTTCTTATTAAGGTATTTTTAAAGCACTTTTAATTTATTTAGTAACATCTTATATAGTAGCCTATAACTAGGTTATTTACTAGGCTTAAGAGTTATTTAGTAATTATATAGACATTATATTAAAAGCTTATTAGACTTATTTTAAAAAAAAACATATAATAAGTTATAGTAGTTTTAAAAGACTATTATTTTTAAGTTAATATATTTTTAAAAAGCTAAAGCTTAGTTTATATTAGAAATTATAACTACATAAATTTTATAATCTAGTTATTAAGCTAAGGTTATAAATAAAGCAGGTTCTATGTAGTAGATGTCTATTTGCTGTTTAAGTCCTAGTTTATGTTTAAATTAGGTAAGTAAAAGTTTTTTAAAAACTTTTTTTTTAAGTTTAAGTAGTTATTAAATTATTTTATATAGCCTATTTTAGTAAAAGGCCTAGCTTATTAGCCTTACTTAGGTAGTTCTTCTCTAGGTTATTAAAAAGTAAGTTTAAAAACTTTTTATATTAAGTGCTATTTAAGTGTTGTTTAGGTGTAAGTGTAAGTATACATCTTAGCATTAAAAAAAGTTAAAGTTTAGAACTTACTTTTAGTAATTAAAGGCAACTTTATGCTAATATAGCTATAGTTATTTTAGAATTAGGTTATAACATCTTATGTTTATTACATAAAGCTTAATCTACTTCTTATAGTATTAGTAGGTAATTATAATAGTTATAGTATAAAAAATAAAACTTTTTTTAAGTTATTTTTTATTAAATCTAGTTAAGTAAATTATTTAAGT